CAGAGAAGTGGTTGAAGGGAGGCATCGGTCAGTGTAAGACATAAAAAAATAATAATAATTTATAAATTATCAAGGGTTCATGAGGGAGGGGCAAAATGACGAGCTGATACCAAGGGCTCAAGCAGAAAGAAAATGTTTTGAGAACGGTCATGTCAACAAATGTACAAATGTGCTTAACACAATGGATGGATAACAGTTGCATAAGCCCCCAATAAAATGATTTTTTTAAATTGTGCATGCTCTAGGTTTTCCAATGGTTAATTTTAAGGGGGAAAAATCATTTGATTATTTTCTTTTGGTTACCTTGGCAGAAGAAAGGCTGATGACGTGTTGATCCTTTTCATTTGTTACAATCTCAGTGATACTGAACATGTGTCCAACAAGTTTCCCTACTGGCTTTGTGCTTATATTGGGATGCCACAGCCGAAGGACTTTATCATCTCCTGAAAAGGTAGACATGGAAAGATTATTTACTTTCTCAGTGGATCCAATTAATCAACTCGCCATAGCGTTTTCTTTTAATATCAAATCATAGTTCGTCTTTTCAAGGCTGCATTTTATGACTGATTTGCTAACTGTTAACTCATTTTGAACCTGCTTTTACTTGTTAGTAGCTGTTTTATAACCATTCTTTTTACAAATACAAATGTGAATTCTCATAAATAACTTCATGAGAACTTTTATTGATTCAATACTTTTCATTCTTGCTGCACTGTTTTACTTATAATACGTCCTTTGCTTCCAAATAGTATTTACGCAGCTGTCCCTCTGTTTTCACATACTAAAATTATGCAAAAATTATAATAATAAATTAAGAAAGATAAAACTTGCGCACAATTTCACAAACCTAACAAACCACGTCTTTTCATTTAAACGCACAGTCTTACACAAACCCATATCCCCTCTTTCTGAGTATACAGCTGGACTGTTTCCAAGCCTTCCTTGCAGTTATGTTAGGTAAGATTACTGGCTCCTTGCCAGTAATTTAAGAATTGTAGTTTCACATCATAAGAAGACATACAGTTCTATTGCATTTGAACCATTTTAAATTTGGGGATTTATTTTATGCAGTAGCTAACATCTAAACTAATACACAATATAGTCCAATAATGTTTTAAAAGAGGACTCTAAATTATATTTCCAACACACTCTGTCTGAAAAGCAGGTTATTTAATTATAACTAGAGATAAAGCACCCGAGGCTTTCCCTTGTGTAGATTCTACAAATGTATTCTGGGCTTTCATTGTCACCCAAAGCTTTCTTCACACCAGAATTTCATGATTTAATCTCTGATATTCCCTCTTTTGGATTTGGATTATATAATTTACAATCCTTGGATCATGGATGTTGGTGTGCTTTTTCCATGTGGACCTAGTTGACATTTCATTTAGATAGCTTCTTGTTTGGAAACAAGCCTTTAAGACCCCAGAGACACTATTCTTTTTGATAGCCGGGCACCATCTAATTTCTTCACTACATTTTGCTATAGCACCCATATTTTCTGTGTTTCTTTCATGAGGGAAAGTATCATGCAGGGTCATGCTGTAAACACAAATTGCTCTTAGATTGGGGTTAGGATTAAGTGTGAATCCAAAATCTATTCCTGAATCTTTGTTATTTTGTGGTGGAGAATTTTATCGATCATCTTCCTGGAGTATAAGTTTACAGTGTCATTGATTAACTCATGGTACTAATTTTAAAAACTCTTGAGAAAGGGAGATTAAACAAGTATAGGCTAACCACAAATCTCAATATATGTATTTTTGACTGGAACAGAATAAATCCTTATGTGACTGGACACTATTTGCACAAAAAATGGGAGCTGATGGTCAGGCAAAACTTAAAATAACAATCACTGACAATGTCAGACACAAGTCAGCCAGAACCATGCATATTTTAACAAAGCAAGTAGGGCATTGAAGCAGTAAGTAAATGTCAGTTTACCTAACAACAGTTCAATACTTTTAATATAGCTGTCTCCTGCTTCTTCACACACCGTGAAGTTTTAATCTTAAGTCCTCGGGTCACAGGTATGTTTGATGTACACCTAGTGGGATTTCCACATTGCATTCCCCGTGTATGGCCTTTGAAACATGAGCTTCAACCTTCAGCCCTTGAAGTTCCAGGGTTCAGTGTCCCAATATTCTATAGCACATGGCTGGGTGCCCAGAGTGTATACTCAGAACAGGGTGGCCTATTAGGAGCATAGTACCAGGCATACTTCCTGATTCAAATTCACTGACATATAATTGGTTTCCATTCATAGTGATCCTACTGGGCAGGGTCGAACTGCCTTGTGGGTTTTCAAGACTATAACTCTTTATGGGAGTAGAAAGCCCCCAGAGAGTGGTTCTCCCACAGAGCCTTTTGGTGATTTTGAACTGCTGACCTTGTAGGTAGCAGCCCAACTCATAATCACTACACCATCAGGGCTACTTGAAAATATATTTAGTCATTTTCCCCCTGGTAGGAAGTTGGTCCTCCCCCTTTTTCTTCCAACAGACATGCTCTTGTCTTCTCTACGACATGTATGCTCTCCCTCCTGACTTGATTTTCCCATCAACATCCCTATCATGCTGGTAGGAATGTTCGCCAGTCCAGGGGGGGACCTCAACACACCTCTGCATGGCAGCCACTAAAGAGTCATCCTCTCCTTCCCCTCAAAACTCTGATACCAGCTGATGTGAGGACCCCTCTACCAAAGTGGCTTTAAGATACACACAGAGAGAGGATGGTGCATGATTCCTGAGCACAAGTCCAGCTTTCTACTGAGCTGCCTGGCTGACCTGGCTAACAAACTAGACAGCCTGAAAACCTCAGCCTGTTCCCATCGTGGTGCTCACCCCTATAGCAGTGGACTCATACAGTATTGGTCCTTTGTGATTGGACAGTATAATGGTTTCCAGATCCTTCCATGTCATGTTTTTTAGGGATGCCTAGTATTCCATTGTGTGAATATCCCAAAGGTTTTTTTTTATCCATTCTTCTACTGATGGAGGTCTGGGCTATTTCCAACTTCTTGCTATTGTGAACTGTGCTGCAGTGAACATGGGAGAGCATAGATCTGTTCGTGATCTCTCTCTTTGGGTTATGTGTCTAGCAGTGGTATTTCTATTGCCAACAGTTTTAGGAATCAGCATATCGTTTGTACAGTGGTTGTATGTATTTACAAGTCCACCAGTGGTGTCTAAGAGTTCCAATCTCTCCAAACCCTCCCCAGCATTTATTGTTCTCTGTTTTTTTAAATAGGGTCAGGGTTGTGGGTTTTAGATGGTATCTCATTGTTGTTTTGATTTGCATTTCCCAGATGGCTAGTGAATGAGAGTATTTCCTCATGTGCTTGTTTGCCATTAAGTTGTCATCCTTTGTGAATTGTAGATTCAGGTCATTTGTCCAGCTTTTAAAGGGGTTATTTGTTTTTTTTCTTGTTGTGGGATTGCTGTATTCTTTTGATTTTACTAATTAATCCTTTGTCCATTGTGTCATTGCTTACTATGCTTTCATATCTGAGGGCTCTTGTTGTACTCTTTTGATGAAATCATTTGATGTACACAAGTCTTTGATTTTTAATCTGCTCCATTCATCTATTTTGTTTTCCACTGTGTGTGTGTGCTTCCTTTGTTATATCTGGTAGCCCAAGTGTGCCCTGCACTAGGGCTCTTAGATTTGTCCCAATTTTATCATTGATGGTTCTGATAGCTTTGATCCACCTTGAGTTCCTTTTGTACATAGGATGAGGCATGGGTCCTATTTCATTCTTCTGCAGATGGATATCCAGTTTTTCTAACAATGTTTGTTGAAAAAGAATCAATTCATTTAATATTTATTGGTCCTTTGTTGAAAATCAGTTGTATGTAGGCCAATGCTTTTATTTCTGGGTTTTCTGTCCAGGTCCATTGGTCTATATAACTGCGGCTGTGTAGTATAATTCCCATATTATACAATTCAATAGTTTAATCATATCAAGAAGAGTTTTACAATCCTCACCATAATTAATTTTAGAACATATTCTTCCATCTTGTACTCATCACTGTTAGCTCCTCGTCTTCCCCCAGCCACCCTTCCCATACCCCCAAACAGACAATAAAATCCAGCTACTGACTTTATAGCTCTACCTATCCTGGATTTCATATACAGAAAAACATTAAAAACAAAAGAGAACAACAACAACAACAAAAATAACAACAAAGCAAAGCCATTAAAAACCTCACATATGCAGGGATTGTTTAATATTAGAAAACAACTGAGGTAATTTACCACATAAACAAAAGAAAGGAGAAGAGCCATATGATTATATCAATTGATGTAGAAAGAGCATCAGAAAAAATTCAACATCTATTTCTAATAAAAATGCTCAATAAAATAGGATAAAAGTGAAATTTCTCAACATAAAAAAGCCATATATGTGAAACCAACAGCTACCATCTAATTTAATGGAGAGAAATTGAAAACATGCCTCCTTTGAATGGGAACTAGACCATACTACCCTTAATCACCACCCTTATTTAATATGATCCTGGAAGTTTTAGCTAGAGCTATAAGACATGAAAAAATATATTAAAGGTATCCAGATAGGCACAGAAGAAATGAAAGTCTCTTTTATTCTCAGATGGTATAATCCTATATAAAGAAACCCCAAAAGATTCAATTAAAAAACTTTGGAACTAGTTGAATAATTTTTCAGCATGGCAAGCTATTAGATATATGTGCAGAAATTAGTTGGATTCTTGTATATTAAAGATGATGGTACCAAAAATTAAATGAACAATAGATTTTACTATAACTACTCAAAAGATAAAATATTTAGGAATAAATCTTACCAAAGAAACAAAAGACTTATACAAGGAGAACTGCAAAACACTAGTACAAGAAACCAAAAGTAAAGTTAGACAAATGGAATAAGCTCCCGTGTTGCTGGAGAGACAGACAACCGATTGTGAAAATGTCAATATTACTATAACTACTTTACAAATTCAACACAATTTTGATACAAATTCCACCACAATTCTTTAAAGAAATGGAAAAACTAATCACCAACTTTATATGGAATGAAAAGAAATGTAGGATTAAAAAAACTGTTGAAAAACAAAAACAAAGTTGGAAGCCTTTCACTCCCGGGCTTTAAATACCATGGTAATCAAGAAAACGGGTACTGGTACTGCTACAACAATAGATATGAAGGCCAGTGGATTAGAACTGAGAACCCAGAAATACAATCAAGTACCTATAGACACCTAATCTTTGATAACGGAATAAAATACAATAAGTGGGAAAGAGATAACCTTTTCAAGAAATTATGATTTCAAAACAATCTTCATCTGCAAATAGTGAAAAAGGACCCATACCTTACACTATGTATAAAACCATACTCAAGATGTATCAAAGACCTAAATATAAACCACACATCCATAAAGATCATCATCAACAACATAGGTACAAACTTAAGAACCCTAATACAGGGCATAAACACACTGCCAAACACAATAGAAAATAGCCATGCCATTGAAGACAGCCTTCAGTTTGGATTGTAATTCAATGTGATGAAGATCAAAATCCTCACAACTGGACTAGTAACATCATGATAAATGGAGAAAAGATTGAAGTTGTCAAGGATTGTGTCTTGCTTGGATCCACAATCAATGCTCATGAAAGCAGCAGTCAAGAGCTCAAAAGACACAATGCATTAGGTAAATCTGCTGCACAAGACCTCGTTTTAGAATATTGAGAAGTAAAGATGTTACTTTGAGGACTAACGTTCACCTAACCCAAGCCATGATATTTTCAATTGCCTCAAAAGCATGTGGAAGTTGAACATTGAATATGAAAAACCAAAAAAGAATCAATTCATTTAAATTGTGGTGCTGATGAAGTATGGCCAGAGTATTCCTTAGAAGCAAGGCTGGTGAGACTTTGTCTTCCATAATGTGTGCATGTTGTCAGGAGAGAGCAGACCTGGGGATGGATCTCATGCTTGATAGAGCATCGGGGAAGTGAAAAAGAGGAAGGTCCTCAAGGAGGTGGATTGACACAGGGACTGCACCAATGGGATCAAGGATAGGAACAATTGTGAGGATGGCTCTGGGTCAGAAAGTGTTTTGTTCTGTTGTGTATAGGGTCCCTATGGGTCAGAACCAACTTGATGGAACCTAAGAATAATAATAATATAAGACCAAAAAAGGGTCTGAGACCTTTTAAAAATACTACATTTATGCACATCAAAGGAATTAAAAGAGAACACATAGATTGGGAAAAAATATTTAGTAATGATGTATAAGATAAGGGGTTATTCCTCCAAATCTATAGAAAACTATAACATCTTAAAAAGGAAAATACAATAACCCAATCAAAAAATGGGCACAAGATATGAATAGACAAAGTACCAAACATGACATTCGTGTGGCAAACAATTATGTGAAGAAATGTTTGAGTTTATTAAGAGAAATAAATTAAAAAAAACAATGAATACCACATCACACTGACATTTTTAGCAAAATTCAATAAAACATAAAATAATAACTGCTGGAGAGGATGTGGAGGGATCAGAACACTTTCACATTGCTGGTGGGACTGAAGAATTTACAACCACTATGCAAATCAGTATGGCACTTCCTTAAACAAATGCAAATGCAAGTATCTTTTGATCAATCAATCTGTCTGTTGAGTATATCTCCCCCCAAAATAAAGAATACAAGGTGAACAGACATATGTACACCTCTGTTTATCACAGCAATTTCATAATAGCAAAAACATGGAAACAACCAAAAATTCTGATTGTAGAAGAATGTTTTTTATGTTGCTGTTGTTAAATGGCTTCAAGTTGCCTCCACAAATAGGGACTTTCTGTAAAATAAAACAAAACATGGGAGAGGAGGAGGGGAGGGAAAGTGAAAGGGGAGCCAAAAAACCCAGGGACAAGGGAACAACAACGGTTCTAAAATTGATGGTGAGGAGGGCATAGAATGCCTGGTGGGGTTTGCTCAAGTGCAATATTGGCTGAGAGGAATTACTGAGAGACGAATGAAGCTTGAACATGATAGTGGGACAGGAAGAAAGTAAAAGGTAATAGAAAGAAGAACTAGGAGGCAAAAGAAATTTATAGAGGTATAAATATAGGCATGTATATATGTAAATATATTAATATATAAAGATATGGCTATAGGTCTATGTTCATATATTTATATATTATATATTAAGGTAACAGACACATATTGGGCCTCTACTCAAGTCCTCCTTCAATGTAAGAACACTTTTTAAATAACCTGGCATTCTGTGATGCTCACCTTCCTGACACTATTGCTGAAGACAAAATGGGTGCATAAGCAAATGTGGCGAAGAAAGGTGATGGTGCCTGGCTATTAGAAGATATAGCATCTGGGGTCTTAAAAACTTGAAGTTTAACAAGCAGTCGTCTAGCATGGAAGCAACTAAACCCACATGGAAGAAGCACACCAGCCTGTGTGATCACAAAGTGTTCACAGGATCAGGTATCAGAAGACCCAAAACAAGCAATCATATTGATGCGAACAATGAGGATCAGAACGGAGACCCAAAGCCTATCTGTAGACAATTGGACATCCCCTTGCAGAAGGGTCATAAAGAAGGGAGGAGTCAGCTAGGGTGCAGTATATTACCGACAAAACATACAACTTTCCTTTAGTTCTTTAATGCTTCTTCCCCCCTACCTTTTTATGGTCCCAGTTCTACCTTACAAACCTGACTAGACTAGAGCATGTACCTTGGTATAGATAAGAGCTCTGGTCACATGGAATCCAGGACAGATAACCCCCTCAGGAGCAGTAATGGGAGTAAGTGATGCCATGAGGGTAGGGGGGAAGGGGGAATCAATTGCAATGATCAGTGTATAACACCCACTCCCCCAGGGGGATGAACAATTGAAACATGGATGAAGGGAGATAGTGGATGGTGTAAGATATGAAAATAATAGTAATTTATAATTTATAAAGGGTTCATGTGGGTGGGACCGTGGGCCAGGGAGGGGGGAAAAAAGAGGAGCTGATACCAAAGGCTCAAGTAGAAAGAAAATGGTTTTAAAGTGATAATGGTACCATAAGTACAAATGTGCTTGATACAATTGATGTATGGATTGTTATAAGAGCTGTAAGAGCCCCCAATAAAATTATATATATATGTATATATGTATGCTTATATATATAAAAGAACAAAACACTGCCTAGTCCATTGCCAAACAATTGTTACTATGTTTGAGATTATTGTTACAACCATTGTGTCAATTAATTGCATCAGTTTTTGCTGATCCTCTGCTTGACCAAGCATGTGTTCTTTCTCCAAGCATGGAACACTCCTTTTCACACACAATGCACATGAGACAAAGTCCCTCTACCCTCCTGACGAGCAATCTGGCTGTACTTCTTCTGAGATTGATTTGTACTCTGGTAGTCCATGGTATATTTAATATTTTTCCCTAATACCATCATTCAAACGTATTAATATTTCAGTCCTTATGCATTGGCCAGCTTTTACATGATTTGAAATTATTGGAAACATGATGGCTTGGGTCAGGTGCACTTTAGTCTTTGAATTGATATCTTTGCTTTCAAGCACTTTGGCAAATGCGGTAAAGAAAGTTGATGGGTCCCGGCTATTAAAAGATATAGCATCTGGGGTCTTAAAGACTTGAAGTTAAACACATAGCCATCTAATAGGGAAGCAACAAAGCCCATATGGAAGGACACCAGCCTTTGTGACCATGAGGTGGCAACGGGAATAGGTATCAGAAGTTCAAACACAAGCAACTAAATTGATGTGTGTAGTGGAGACCCAAAACCCAGCTTTAAGATAATTGGACAGAAGGGATGATAAGTCTAGGGTGTTGTAAAGCACTGATGAAACACATAACTATCCTTTGGGTCTTTAATATTTCCTCCCAATACTATTATGCCTTATGTTTTAACAATTGTAGGTGAATGGATACATTGGATGGCATAAGATAGGATATGGATATATATATATATATGGTTCCTGATGGGTAGGGTGGGGGAGGGAGGTCATAAAGGGGAGCTGATATCAAAGATTTCAAGAGAAAAAAATGTTTGGAAACTGATGGTGGCAGCAATGGTACAATTATAGACCCAAGTAAAATTATATCCTTGATAACTTCAATCTTTACTGTTTATAATTTTTCCCTACAGGACCTATTTATGACTTCTATAATACCTTCAGGTCTAGAATCTCAGATTATACTTTGTCCCAACAAAACCTCCATATGCTTTCAAAAGAATTTTTCTTGTATATTTCAAATAGATATAATTAATATTTATTGATGGCAAATATGACTTTAGTTAATCTTAAAAACCACTATAAAGTAAGTATTGCTTTTGTAATTATTAATATTAGCACACTTGTATTGAGTATGAGTAGGGTTTTCCAAGGAGCAGATCGTCAAGTCTTTGTCTCATGGATTAGCTCGGTGGGTTCAAACCACTAGTCTTTTAGTCACCAAATCAGATCAGAGTGTTGGTCCACTGACTGCAAGGTCAGCATTTACAACATGCTCCGTGGGAGAAAGATGAGGCTTTCTACTTCCATGAAGGTTTGCAGTCTGGGAAACCAATAGGGACAGCTTCACTCTATCCTATAAGTTATGGTTAGGAATTGACTCTATGGCAGTGAGTGAGTATGATACATTATTTATCCTTCCCTTGTTGGTATTCTTCAGAGTAGTATATTTGGCCTTCTTCTCTGTTAACTCTCAGCTATTGGCTATTATTCATTGACCTCTTTCGGTTTTCTTTCCTGAAAAATGCACACATGTGGACACACACACACACACACACAAGTCCTACAATTTCAATAGATGCTAAGACAATTTTAAAGCCAATACACAAACCCAGATTAGGAACTCATGCTTGCACACATATAAACTAGCTTTATATGGATTAAATATCTAAAAGTAAAATGAAATATTGAAACAATAGAGTAAAATACAAGAAAATAGTTTCATATATTTTTGGGGTGAGAAAAGCTTTTCTAAAAGTGTCATCAAATCAAGAAATCACAAAGAAAAGTATAGACAGATTTAACTCTAGATTTTTTAATTCCCTAAGGTTTTTGCTAGAATCTCTGGGCTGTTTAGTTGATTAGCATGCTCCCTGAAATGTTGGAGGTGCCTCAAAAAAGGCCTGGCAATTATTTTTTTTAAAATCAGCTACTGTAAATCCTTTAGGAATAGAGTTCTACTCTGAAAAACATTAGATTACCATGAGTTGGAATTGATTTGATGGCAACCGGCAACAGCTTTGTACCAGTAGTAAATTATGTAGCCTTATTTAAATAAATGTTAATCAAGAGCAGCACTGTTTGCAAAGCAGAAAATCCCTAAAACGTGAACTGTGATCTTACCTCCTGTAACAAGCACATTTGCTTTCATACAGTAGCAAAAAGTGTTTGCTCCTCTAGGCATGGAGAACTCTCTGACAGGCCTGGAAAAAACAAATTCGAGGTAAGAGTAATTTTTTCCTCATAAAACTAATTTGAAATTATAAATAAATTACATTTAAGATATTACTTCTAAGTTGGTTATTTAAATCCATATGCCCAAATAAAATGTTATAAATAATGATTAAGTCCTCACTGACCCATGATATGCATCTATTAAACCCATTTTGTAGTTTTTTCTGTCTCCAACCCTGAGGTTGTGGTTGTATTGGTAGTGAGGATGGGACGAGATCTATCATGTCTTAATTCAAGAAAGATATTGTGGGACTAAATAAGCCCAATATCTGAAACATCTTTGAAAAACTCCTCTTTCACTATCCACTTCTAACCTCCTGTCAAATTTTGTTGATTTAACTTGTAAAATACACCTGAAATCTGGCCAAATTTTTCCATTCTTACTGCAATAACTTGGCTGAATCCTCCAACCTTTCACACCAAAACTACAACAGTAAAATTCCAATTTCTCCATTGATATTCCTCTTTCAACAATCCCATTTCCACTGATATGGTATAACATTAATTAGCTGAACAGATTGTAGGTGATAACAGGTTTGAACAATTGCTGGTCTCTGGGATAGGTATTATTATCCTTATTTAATAAATGAGAACAATGAAACTCTTTTTAGCTTATTTTCCAAAGAGCCTGATAAGAAGAACAGGTAAAGATGAGCAAACTTCTGTATGGATCATGCTATCAAGTAGGTGAAAAGTATGAGGAAGAACTGACCGAACTTAGAAAAACTTTCAATATGCAGTCAGGAGGCTTGGATTCTGGTTGTGTTTCATTGATAAATATATGACTTTAAAGAAGTCATTCTGCACTACAGGTTCCCTTTTAGAAAACTGTGGATTAGATATGACCTTTATCTTCTTTCAGTTTTAAGATAAAAAAGAAAACATTTTATTGGGGGCTCGTACAATTCTTATGACAATCCATACATACATACATACATTGTGTCGAGCACATTTGTACGTTTGTTTCCCTCATCATTCTCAAAACATTTGCTTCCTACTTGAGCCC